TTAGATACTTAAATATGTTCTGCAAATTACACAGCCCCGAATAAACAATTGACCCATTTTTCACAAGTCAGTTCTGCTTTCTTAGAATTAAGGATGTTTACCACTAATCCAGTTCCTGCAATTTTACATCAGTACATTAAAAACAGGCCTCTGCACATTGATTGCATGGAAGTGCAGTCTCCTGAAGATATCCATTATAGCAGTGGCTCTCAAACTTTTGTACTGGTGACCCCTTTCACATAGCAAGCCTCTGAGTGCGACCCCCCCCTTATAAATTAAAAACACTTTTTGTATATTTAACACCATTATAAATGCTGGAGGCAAAGCGCGGTTTGAGGCGGAGGTTGACAGCTCGTGACCCCCCATGTAATAATCTCACGGCCCCCTGAGGAGTCCCAACCCCCAGTTTGAGAACCCCTGCATTATAGGCAAAATGGGCTGTTACTACAGCAAAACATCTAGTATAACGAAGTACTGTAATTCAGACACTGCATTGTATTGACAGTGGAAGCGTTGGGAGATCAGCCTGGGCAAGTCACGTCCACTCTTGGCAAGTACACCAGTGTGACCATTACAAGATAGCGAGTATCCCTTGTAAGATGCTTGTGCAAGAGCACGATCTGTTAAGTGCACACAACAACAGCTACCAATGATTTATGCCAAGGCATAGTAGGAAAATTTGAATTTGGATCTTGTAAGATGTTAATATTCCTTGCCTAGAAGCCAAGTATCATTCAGAAGTAAGCAATTTTTTTTCCTTTGAATAAAATCTACAAGAACCCATTCCAGATTCCTTACAGACAAACTGAGTAGGCCTAAGGCCCTGAACCTGCAACTTGATCCATATGGGCAGATCCTGCTGCCATGTAACATCCCACTGACTTCAGTGAGGCGCTGCATGGCCCACTTGTCCCAAGCAAGAACTTGCATGATCTGAGGGGTAAATTCACCACTGCCAATAGAAAATGACTTAAGTAAGGTTCAACTCAGAGCCACCTGAATACAAGCTCCAAACCAGAGTCAGCTCTAGATTTTGCAGACTATGCAAAGCCAAGTGTGGGTCCCCAGCCAGTAGCTACAAGGTGGGTTGAGATTAGTGTGGAGATAGTGGGTTTCTATAGCAGCACAAGATTGGGGTTCGGGGCACTTTTCATTGTGGGCTCCAGCTGATCTCTCAAAGTAGCTGGGTGCTGACAAGAGGCTGTTGCTGGGGAAAGGAAAATGCTGACAGAATGAGACTGAAGCAAGGGCCACTAAGCAGCCACATGCTTAGTACATGCATTAGCCTGCCCCTGCTGCAGGTAGGGAGCAGTGAAGACAAGTTACAGCATAACTGAACAATGGAATAAACATGTTAATCTTCAAGCTCACCAAGTGGTACAATGTGAAAAATAACTCAATGAGTTAGCCATCTATGTCATTACAGAGTGGCAACACATTTGAGTTAGTATGGCATGAAGCACCTTCCCTCCCTCCCCCCGAGGTTTATTCCAGTTACAAAACTGGCCAGCACGTACTGGCAGAGTGAGGCAAAAATAGTCCCTTAAGTGTTGCTTAAGGTAGAGAATTTTGGCATTGTGACCCCCTCCAGAATGCTTGTTTTACACAAATACTTATGCATAGGGCCCTACCAAATTCACAGTCCATTTTGGTCAATTTCATGGTCATAGGAGCTTAAAAAAAATCATAGATTTCATGATTTCAGCTATTTAAATCTGAAATTTCACGGTATTGTAATTGTAGGGATCCTGACCCAAAAAGGAGTTGTGGGCTGGTCTCAAGGTTTTTGTAGGGGGGGGGGGGGTTGCGGTACTACTACCCTTACTTCTGCGCTGTTGCTGGTGGCAGCTCTGCCTTTAGAACTGGGCAGCTGGAGAGCGGCGGCTGCTGCTGGCCAGGAGTCCAGCTCTGAAGGCAGAGCCGCCACCAGCAGCAGCACAGGAGCAAGGATGGCATTGCACCCTTACTTTTGTGCTGCTGCCTGCAGAGCTGGGCCCTCAGACAGCAGCCACCATTCTCCTGCTGCCCAGCTCTGAAGGCAGCAGTGCAGAAGTAAGGGTGACATGGTATGCTATTGCCACCCTTACTTCTGTGCTGCTGCTGGCAAGGTGCTGCCTTCAGAGCTGGGTGGCCGGAGAGCAGCGGCTGTTGGCCAGGTGCCCAGCTCTGAAGGCAGTGCAAAAGTAAGGGTGGCAATACTGTGACCCCCCCTAAAATAATCTTGCAACTCCCTTTTGGGTCAGGACCCCCAATTTGAGAAATGCTGGTCTCCCCGTGAAGTCCGTATAGTATAGGGTAAAAGCACACAAAAGACCAGATTTCACGGTCCGTGATGCATTTTTCATGGCCGTTTATTTGGTATGGCCCTACTTATGCATTGTTGCAGGCATTCACACCTTCCCTGTCATGACCCTTGCTCTGGACAAAGCTAAATAGGTGGTGCAGAGACACAGCAACTTCCAATACAATGCCACTATAGACAGGAAGTGCTACTGTGACAGCTGCACAAGTGCAATTGGCCCTCCAAGTGCAATCCCAGCATCCCACAATGCTCCTGCCCATCCAGCAATGACCAATCTTACAGCTCAGAAGCACTGTTTCTGTCACCTGTCAAGTCATTCACTTAGGCCTGGTCTATACGGGGGGAATCGATCTAAGTTACGCAACTTCAGCTACGTTAATAACATAGCTGAAGTCGATGTACTTAGACCTACTCACCATGGTGGTCTTCACTGTGGTGAGTTGACTGCTGCCGCTCCCCCGTCGACTCTGCCTGCGCCTCTCGCGGTGGCGGAGTACAGGAGTCGACGGGAGAGCGCTCGGGGGTCGATTTATCGTGTCTAGACTAGATGCGATAAATCGATCCCAGCTGGATCGATCGCTGCCCGCCGATCTGGCGGGTAGTGTAGACATAATCTTAGTACCTCATGGGGGGGGGGGGAGGAGAGTGGTAGAAGGAGAGAGAAAGCAACCAAGTTGGTATTCAGCTACTTTCTATTCTGACCCTTTCCTGACCCCCGCATTCAAAGAGCCAGAGCAGCAGAGGATGTGATAGAAAATACAGCTTTAAAATTTCGCTTTATGGAAGCTTCTTTTGGAAGTGTCATTAGGATTCACCTGAAAACAGAGAGAAAGTGTTCAGCAGTCACTACATGCACACTCAACACTGCATTACATTGAAGTTGCCATGGCTGTCCATTTGTTGCCTCAGCAGGGCTACCCTCAATGTAAATGCAGTGTTGAATGTGTGCGTGCAGTGGCTGTGCAGCAATTAACTTTCTCTCCTTTGTCTGTGTGCGTGCAGGTGAACCACTAGAGGGTAATAGGTTTGGAGCAGTATTCTAACTACATAGCAGCATGTGAATTACAGCAGTCTGTCTGTTGCCTCAGCATAACTCACGCACTGCTACACAGAATACTACTCCCAACCTTTTATCCTCTAGATATGCACCTGAAAACACAAAGGAGAGAAATTAATTGCATGCACAAACTCAACACTGCATTTAGGAGGGTTGCTATGGCAGTCCGTTTGTTGCCTCAACTTATTTCGCACAATGCTATGCAGTCAGAATACTGCTCCCCACCGATTCTCCTCTAGTAATTCCACCTGCCTTGCTACAGTGTCCAACACTCATTTGTGTTGTCCCCAACCCAGGACCAAATAATGCCTAGGGCCCACTGCATTAGATGAGGGAATTGAATGGGCACTATCAATAGGCCTGGAAGGACATCCTCATTCCAACCCATACCACTCCCATCTGTAGATCAAGAAGGGGACACAAGAGAACAGTTAGTTCAGCAACAAACCACACACAACAGGGTATGATCCAAAGAGAAGAAATCAATTCAAAATAATCAGCCTCCTTGTTCCCTCAAGTTGCAACACCCAAGTTGCTCATCGTAACCCAATCCTCTGGGTTGTCCGTTGAGTGATCCTCCATTATAGCATCTGCAAGTGTTATGGCGTAGCCCCTTCCCCTCACGATTGGTGCATGGATCCTTGAGCAGGACAGAGCCATTTGAAGTTGGAGATGGAAGCACAGAACAAATGCAAATATACAGTATACCACATTGCAATTGTTCCAAGGAGATAGCCAATGATACTCATCCCAAGTACAACAATTAACAGCACTTGCAGGGAGTGCTATGCAGCAATGCAGTGCACTGAATATTCCCAGAACAAATTGGCTAGCATGGAGTCACTGCATTGTTGAGACTTGCACCACAGCAGTTCTCTAGCATAGACAAGGCCTTAGACCGAGTTCCCATGCCAAGTGTGAAGGATGGGCTCTCGCTCCAGACCAAATGTGATAGTACTTGCTACATGCTCCAGATTTAGCAGGCTATTTCCCTCACTATAGGGTAAGTCTCTTGTTGCCACACATTTTACACAGCAGTGTAAATTAAAATTAGTACATTCAGCAGGCACTACTGGGTTTCTCCCTCAAAAAATGTGTACAACAGACCCTCTTCCAACACTGTTTGCTTAATACTAACTCCTAAATGCACACCATGCAGCACTGTATTGTCACGTGGATTTCATTTTCAGTACAGCTGGCCCCTTACATAATCTACATTCATCCTGGACAACAGCCAATTGAGATAATAGAGAATTCCTAAACTGGAAAGTACTCCCAACCCAGCTCTCGCCCCATTGCATGCGTTTCTCATTAAAAGTCTCTGGATCTGCTCTGTTTAATTGTAATTCAGCCATTTAATATACCTTTGCACCCTCTAGTGGAGAAAACGAGAAGTGCCACATGAAGAATATATTCTCAAATTCTTGAAGTATTCTTCAAGGACAGCAAGGTTTGAATTACTTCTACAAATCCTCAAAGCACCACATCAGAGCTAGGAAGTGTCCCATTTGCCACGAGTACACTACTTCCCAAAAGTTAGCATTCCCAGAAGTGCAGAAGAAACTTGCAGAGTTGAGTACCTCTTTTGGCTTGTGCATGTTGTATGACAGGAATTTAACAAGAGTTACAGTAATCTTTTTTGAAAATTAGATTTTATTCATGTGTTTAGGCAAAGCCACATTCTACAAGTTAGAAGACTACATACAGGGATAGTCAAGCTGAAGTGATGGCATCCTGCTCCTTTATTACGGTGAAATCTTCCAGTCAAATCCTCTGGAAAGAAATAATCAGGACACACAGATGAGCACAAGAACATAGTTCAAAAGGCTTCACATACAGACAGGTCAGATCTGTGCAGAGTGCAATATGAGCAGCTAAGCAAACTTAGAAAGTACATTCAGCTTAGGGTGACATCTGCAAGTCATTGTGATTGCTTAATGAAGCTGATGCAGAATTCACTGAAGGTCTTATGTGCAGATGCTCTGAAGTTCCGTTGTGAAAGATATTGATGCAGGATTTAAAAGAGAGGGGGCCTGCTCTTTGGACAAGTGCAAATGGACGAAGTTTCACAGGAGATGAAGGTCTGATGAGCAGTTGACTGCATTTACAGAAGAGCTCTAAGACTGCAAGCAAGTACTCCCTGTACCAAAATGGCCCATTAGTTTACCACTCCGTAAACAAAGGTGGCTTAGTAACTCTCAGCCTACCTGCCACAAATACAGAATGCCTGGCTCAAGATGACGCTAGCCTAGATGAGTGCCAAGGTATGGCTGAACTCAGGCAATTTCAAGGCAAAGGTACAAATGCACCCTTCCCTTACTTTGGTTGAAGAGAATGATTTCTGGTTGTTGACCAGGTGAGCTAGTCAGGCACAATACTACTGAAACCTTGTATATACTAAACTGCCTAACATAAGGACTTGCAAGTATTTTATTCATGTTAAAAACTCTTATGCTAATAACTGGCAAGTGAGATTTTACATTAACATATGGAGAAATTTTATATCAAGTTACACTAAGACAATCTAAAAGTGACAGCACTCTCCTTACCAAATACCTTCCTCTTCCCTGCTGCTGTGTATGCTCACAGGTTTGTTATTTTAAAGTTTCTGACTTAAATATATTTATACATGTTGGTCTCCAAGTTAAATATTTACTTTGGCTTGCAAGGAAGAAAAATCTACATCAAAACAAACCTCTCAACTGCAGCCACTAAAGAACAACTTTTATAAGTAGTTGTACTACATTGTATGCTGGGTGGAGGGAAAAAATATCTTATAACACTTGTTTCTTATGTAGTACTTTATCTTGCCTAGTACCCTTTAAATATTTAACCAGTTGTAACTTCACTTTGGAAATGAAGAGTATGCCCAAACTTATGAGGTCTTCCAACATTTGATACGGTTGTGGGAAGGTTTGGATTCTAAACTAGTGGAAGTGTGTCTTGGATTATAAATGCATTTTTTTATTGCCGTTAGCGATAAACAGATCTGCTTTATTCAGGACTCAGGTTGCTTGCTATATGCTTTTCTGTACAAGTAAACAGAACAGAAGCATGTTGGTTTGTACACCAGGGAAGAGTAGCATTTGCCAGATCAAAGGAAATAGCCTTTTAGAGCAAGAAAACTGAACAGAGCATGTTAATCCATATAATAGCAGGCAAGTGAAGAGTTCACTAACTGCTGTCTGAGATTCCATTACACTGCCCTCTCCTGGTCAACTGGAAGCCTATAATCTTGCACTTTATTAGCCCTAATGTATATGTTTAATTCCAGTGCTTGCAACTAAAGTTCTGGATAGACATTTTTAGTTACATCTGAATAGTTACCCAGGAGGCAGTGTAGAATGATCATCCGGTTTCTAATCAGCAGAGTTTTATCTTTATACCATGGAGCACGTAGACAAGAGAGAGCTTAGCGGTTAGTCAGTGACTGTCATAAATTAATCACAGTACATTTAAGAGAGTCAAAAGCCATTTTACAGTTAGATGTTTCTATATTTTAGGAGTATCATTTAAGTTTTAACTAGAAAGTAGTTGCAGACTTACTAGAGATGAAGCTGAGGGCACTAGAGCCTCACGTGCAGATTAGGGTGGGATTTGTGCTCCTAGATAATTTAGGCACTTTTGAAAATCCTACTGTGCTTCAGCTATTCAGAACTACAATACACATGCCTGGTGACACATTGATTAAGAAGTTATTTGAGTGATAACACTTTTCTCCTGGTCTCTACTGGACTGTTGTGTCAGATGGATGTGTCAGGTCTCATCACTATTATAGTCACAACAGGAGATATAGTATTTGTTTAGAACATTAAAGTTATACCTAGTTGTACATTGTCTGATTAATACCAGACTCCCCAAATCCCCAGGTTATTTAAAAGAAAAAGAAAAGAGGGACAGATAGCCAAAGAGAGATTCTGTAGTATTTGCTGAAACTTTGCTATGAATCTCAGTGAAAAAGTGGATAGATTAAGCCAGCTGCTTTCTTGATTTATTTTAGGAAAATATGACAAGTGCTCATTATTTAAGATAGCAGTTACTTTGCAATAAAATAAAATTGATATACTGCAATCTGGAAGAGTACCCATTTACTTGCCTTTTTGGATGTACTCTGTATACATTACTTGATTTGTGCCAAGTGCCAGATAAGTTACATTATGATTATCAATATTACATTATGATGAAAAAAAGACCACTAATCATTCAGTCTTAACACTGGTTTTGAGGTGTCCCAGTTCCTAAAGATTCATAATTTAATGCTTTGCCTGGAAAGGGAAGGTAATTCTCCTTGCTACAGCACTGCCAAGAGGCCACCTGCCACTTCTTCACCTGGAGAAACCTAGTGGTTCCCAATTCTCCTCCTACTTCAACAAAATGGTTGCCTCTAATTAATGCCACCTTCTATTGGGGGAGAACTACTATTTTATTAACATGTGACAGGCCAGTTGTTGCAGCAACTGACTGTTCAAAAGGGCCCGAAGGCCTGTTTTAGTCAACGTAATGTGTCACCTCTCAGCCACCAAGGCTCCAACAAATACAAAGGTTGTGTCAGCCAGCGACCGACCAACCAACCAACACGGTCAAACTGATAGCCTAGAATGATTAAGGAACACTCAGTCTTGCTTCCCAACCCAGACTCTGCTGGGTTTCTATCACCACCCTCAAGGGGAACCAAGCGTCTAGTGGCAATTAAGCCTTGAGAAAGCAGCAGGAGTTTCCTTTAGGGGAGTACTGACAAGCCTAACTGTTGGCACCTATGTGGGCTCTGCCTCTCTGAGAGGATTTTAATACCCAGTTCACCAAATCCACAGACATCTGTTAATTTGTTACATGTTTTCTGCACTTTGTGTAGATATACCTATAGTAAACAACACGAGTTATCCCTGGTCAGCTCCACGTGTGGACACTCATTCTGGAACAGGAATGCCTTGTTCCCGTTTAGCTTAATTCACAGTGGTTAAACTAAAGAGAAGCAAGGGACTCTTGTTCTGGAATAAGAATGTTCACACATGCAGCTGGTCAGGAACAACGACTGCGCTTTAGGTTCACATTCTATCTTCATCTGCATTAACTTTCAAGTGTGGACAAACCATACATCTTCTTGGTTGTGTCACGATGTGGCTAAAAAGCAGTCTCAAGTGAAAAGAGGTAGCATCACTGTGCAGGTCAGTTAAAGGGAGGGTAGATTAGCTGGAACTTTAACTCACATGAATGAGAGTACAACCGGTCTAGAAAAGCAGGAAGCATTCTACTGGGTTTTCCTCCTGCTAGGCAGTTGCAATAGTGGATGTTTTACATTAACCTTACCCAGGATTCAGGGAGGACTTTGAGATGTTAAACCAGGAGAACAAAGGTCTACCAAAACCAACAAGGAGTCTGGTGGCACCTTAAAGACTAACAGATTTATTTGGGCATAAGCTTTCGTGGGTAAAAACCTCACTTCTTCAAAGGCCTACCAGTTGGCCTTCTGGTGTTAAGGAGGCACATTCACTGTCTAGGGTCATGTCCTCTAACAGCATCTGAGAAGCGGTGTCTCATTAACCCCTTTTCCTGGCTCTCTCTTTCAAAGTGTGTAGTTCTCATGCCAAAGACAATCCTCCACACTTGGGCACTCAACAGCTACTCTGACTATTCAAATCCCTCCTTAAAGCACACTTCCCTCATGAAACCTTCAGTGATGACCTGAACAGAGCTACTAATTGAGTTTTTTTAAAAAAATATTTGAATTCAGGCCTTCATTCAGTAGACTGGGATGTTGTCTGTCTGCTTATAAGCGCCCCCCCCTTGTGACCATGTTTTTGTCTAGGTACTGTACAGGGTTAAACATATTATTGACTTTCAAAAAGCCACTGTTCTGCTTATTATGCTGGCTATAATGGAGTAGAAGGAAAGGGAGTTAGGTTCTATTTATACTGGCAAAGGAACAATGCAAGCTGCACTGTTTTAAAATATGGTTCATACCAACACTGTTACAGAGTCAGCATAGGCTGGGCTGGAAGTATTCTGGAAACACTGCACTAACTGAATGACTAGCAGGGGAAAATATGAACTTCCACACAAACCATGGTAAATCATCAGGCTCCAGCATTATATTTCTATTGAGACATATGGGGACAGTTCACAGCACCCATGTCTATTGTCTGCAGATCCAGTTAAGATGGCACCACACAGGGATATAATCAGAAGGCAAAACACTTATTTTTTAAATTAAATCTTAAAGTTAAGATAAATAGCCAGGGATTAAATTCTACGTGGAAGAATCTAAACCCACAGATTTCTATTGGTACTGGAAATCAGCAGTGTAAAAGAAAATGAAAAATGTGATCTATAAAAATTAAGTTTCATTATTAAACCTATAGAGCTTGTTTGTCAGGCAATGGCTCTTTCAGCTCTGAGAGGTTTAAAATTCAGAACAGAGATTAATACTGAATAAAGAAGAACTGTGACTATGTAAACTAGGGATGGGCAAACTTTTTGGCCCAAGGACCACATCTGGGTATGGAAATTGTATGGTGGGGCATAAATGTTCATGAAATTGGGGGTTGGGGTGCAGGGGGGGGGAGGGCTCCGGCTGGGGGTGTGGGCTCTGGGGTGGGGCCAGAAATGGGGAGTTCAGGGTGTGGGAGGGAGCTCCAGGCTGGGACCAAGGGGTTCGGAGGGCAGGAGGGGGATCAGGGCTGGGGCAGGGGGTCGGAGTGTGGGAGGGGGGTCAGGGGTGCAGGCTCCGGGTGGCTCTTACCTCAAGCAGCTCCCAGAAGCAGCGGCATGCCCCCACCTCCAGCTCATACGTGGAGGTGCGGCCAGGTGCCTCTGCACACTGCCTGGTCTGCAGGCACCACCCCTGCAGCTCCCATTGGTTGCAGTTCCTAGCAGCCAATGGGAGTTGCGAGGGCGGTGCTTGGGGCAGGGGCATCGTACAGAACCTCCTGGCTGCCCCATGTGTAGGAGCCAGAGGGGGGACATGCCGCTGTTTCCGGGAGCCATGCAGAGCCACGGCATGCATGGAGCGGGGCAAGCCCTTGACCCAGCTCCCTGGCTGGAGCGGGGCAAGCTCCGGACCCTGCTCCCCAGCAGGAGTTCGAGGACTGGATTAAAACATCTGAAGGGCCGACGTGGCCTCCTCGCCATAGTTTGCCCACCCTGATGTAAACCACACATTTTTCCTTGACTTAAACTGGAAAGATTTTGTATGCAGTATCATACATGACCATCAAAATGCTGCAAGAATGCTCACACCTGCTACTGCACAGAGCAAACTCTAGAAAGGAGTCTGCGTAGGATTATTCTAGGGCAAGAGATCAGGCTGGCTGGTACAAGGCTGTGTCACCAAGGGCCCAGCCACACAGCAGCCTTTTCCCAGACCCTGTGCTTTCTACAAAGCCTGCCAAACTCCTGTGCTTCTGTACAGTTGCCTCTTGCCAAGGAAGGAACAGCCAATCCTAAATCTAACTTTAATTAAATGGTTAAAAAGTTACCTCACATGAGCTGCGCCACCAGAAATGGATTTGATGCACCTTAGCCCCAGTACAATCCAAGACGGAGGTGGAAATTGTTCCTTCATTTAGGCAATGGAGAGGTAAACCCTGGCAAGAAATTCAGAGACACATGATCACAGCAGAATAGCAGAGAGAAAGAGTCAGTCAGAGTAGGTAAATAAACCTCTCTCATTGCTTGTGAGGGCATATCACCCTTCATCTCCACTCCACTTACCAAAATGCCTCATTCCATCTGTGCTACAAAAACCACCATGCTGCAGGCACTAGGGCACAACATGGCATCCACTGATGCTATAAACCAGCTAAACCCCTGAAAAAGAGCTAAGGGCCAACATACACTATCAATAGGAACTGTGTTACACAGCACGGGGGGGGGGGCACAGTGGCTCAGTGAGATCCAGAGGCTAGACTTGGAATAAGGTGTCCCTGCTTCCTACTCCCATCTCTCTTGCTGACCCCCATGTCACACACCCATGTGCATTTCCTCCAATCCCCCTCTCTGCCTCCACTACACCCACAACCCTCTTCTCCACAATTCACACTCCCCACATACACCCCACGCCCTGGCTGGCCTCCACTATTCACCCTCCTTACATACATAAATACACCCCATCCCCCTTGCTTCACCCACTACACCCAAACCCCCTCACTAGTCACCCTCCCTACATTACACGCCAATCCCCCTCTGCCCACATACACCCCCCAACCTCCCTTTCTGGCCCCCATTATTTACCCTCCCCACATATACCCTCAACCTCGCTCGCTGGCCCCCACTACTCACCCTCCCCACATACACCCCATACCCCTTTCTGGCCCCCACTACACCCCAAAACACCCTCACTAGCCCCCGATTATTCACCCTCCCACCCACAACCCTCTTCTCCACAATTCACACTCCCCACATACACCCC